GAATAATGGCTCAATACTTGTTTAGCTATAAAATACTTAGAAAACCATCAATCCCTCTGAGTCTTAATTGACTTATCTATAAAATGGGGAAAATAAGTTTGGCTTTTGAGGATTAAATAAAATGATATATGTAAAGTTCTTAGCATTATTATAGATGCTTACTAAATGGCAGTCAGTATGATTTTACTACTCAGATGCAAAACTCATGACTCTAAATTCTTTACAACCCATAGCTTTCAAAATAGTACCAAGATATTTATATTGTTAAATTCACTATTATTTTCAGTACCACTAAGAAACACAATCACTGCTAGTTCACAATAGGCACAATGCTTCTTATCACCAAGGATTACTGTGCTTTGTAAAAGAACTCTTTGATACTTTTAAAATTATATCTTATTTCTAAAATCGTATAATAAAATTGGCTTCTGGTATTCCTACTCTTTTCTGTTCAGAGTCCAAATTCTCTGAAATACTTTTATACTGAGAACTATTGATGTCCACATTTTTTTCAACAGAACATCATACCCTGTGCCACAAAGATTTTAATTAAATAAGGTTATTTAATTCAATTAATTATTAATTTATATATTTAATTAGATTTTATTCAAATCATTTGGTATGAAAAATAAAGATACAGGGATGTTCAAAGAATAGTACATGTTATCTCAGCTAAGCATTGATGTATCCTAACAAGTGGCTAAGTAGGTGCAATTTTACAACATCAACTTTAAATATGTCTGAATTTTGGAAATGCTTGAAACATTTAAGAAATTATGCATCTTAAGATCACATTATGTGTATATAAGTATATTTTATCTATATGTTAACTATTTATAAAGTAAATTCATTTTATGTCCCTGAGCTTGGTGCTCAGGGATTTTCAACAGTATTAAGAACACTGACTCGCTGATAACTTCTTATCACAATGTAGACCAACATAGAGTATAGAGAACAGAAAGTCTTGAGTAACAAAATTCTAATATAATTTCACTTTTCTTGGATCTTTCTTACTCTCACAATTAACTGATGCTTAAACATATGATCAAGTAGAAATTCAGAGGCAAAATCAAAGACCTACATCCTGTCCAGATTTTGCTGTTTAACCTTAGGCATTGTAGTCAGTCTTAACTTTGCAGCAATTTTTAGCAACATCTGCTATGAAAGGACTGTTTCTACTTTATAGTATTGCTTAGTAAGGTCACTAAAATTCTCCTCTACCTCCTGGATAACTGACAAGAAACTTAAATAACTGGTAGAAAATTAGGTCAGTTAGAAAAGACGTTGGACCAATTGAAAACACCAAGTATTACTATCCCCGTTCAATAATGAGATACAGATGACTTAAAAGTTCATGAAAGAGACTACTCTGAAGAGGTTTCCATACTCCCTGAGTGGAGCCAAATATGCTCAGGCACTTGTAGAATGACTGAAATGTTAGAATTACATTAACTTTCACACAGAATAAAATTAAATACAGCATGTCTTGTGAAGAGAAATTAATCTGTCAAAATGTGGAAGGGTTGCAGATCTATTTACTCTGAAGGATGTCTTCTCTTGCAAACTAAGACTAAAATTGTTTTCCAGGATATAATTTTCAAAATAACGTATGCGGTGCCCTTTATATCAGTGGGAGAAAATTAGTTTGTACTTATAGTCAAAAAATTCAATTAGCAATGATCAGCAGAAGAATACCGATTGGTTTTTCTTCAGTGATCCAAGGTTGATTTTCAGTTTTGATTATATTTTTTATCCCTTTAACTGCTTTCGTTCTCAAAATTTCTTCCCAGTTTTGATATAAAATTGGCATACTGATAACAATTGTTTTTGTAGCTACGGATCCCATTTCAACACTGTCAGCAACATTTGCTTCACCAGCAGCTGGATAGGTAGAATTCTCAGCTCATCTGTAAAGGAAAGACTAACAGCCTATCAACCAATAAGAACTGGAGTCGCCCTCCTGCTGATGCTTCAAGAGAAGCTGTCTGAGAACTTCCACTTCTGATAAGCAGCTTTTGAGTGATTAGCTACCAGTTCCACCCCAGAATTGTTGTGTGTTTGTTGGTTTTTCCTGCTTTTCTCCCTTTCTGTATAACCAGTAGTTGACCTTCCCTAACCAAGAGCCCTTATGGGTTTTCTTCTAATCAAAGGATGCTAGAGATGACTTAGGATTTAGATGTCCTTTAATGCTTTGTTCCGTTTTTTTTCCATGGGGCCTTCTATGAGGAGCAAGAGAGAGGCCCTGGACCTCCCATCCTCATTCCGCTCTCCACCATCTGTTTAATATATTGTTTTATCTGTATGGTTTTATTTGAAGAGAACTTTCCACTAAGTTCTTTTTTTTTTTTGATACCAGGGAGTGAACTCAGGGGCACTCAACCACTGAGCCACATCCCCAGCCCTATTTTGTATTTTATTTAGAGACAGGGTCTCACTGAGTTGCTTATCACCTCACTGTTGCTGAGGCTGGCTATGAACTCACAATCCTCCTGCCTCAGCCTCCAGACCCACTGGGATTACAGGCATGCACCACTGTACTTGGCTTCTACTAAGTTCTAAAAGCTTCATCCAATACTCTGACTTTATAGATAAGGCAATTTGGAAGGTTAATTATGGATCAAAACTCACCTAGTTCATACAGAGCTATCACCTAGACCTGCTCACTTCCAGTCAGTGAAATTTCCACTCTGATACATTGCCTCTGCTTGTATATGTGACCTATTTGGGACCAGCTCTCTTTTTTTCATATATATATGAAATATATATTATAATTGAATAATACATTACATTCATGAATATATTATGTTATATATAAATTAATATTATATTATATATAAATAATATATTCATTAGGGTTCTTTCTGTGATGAACTTCAGAAACCCTACTTGAACTACCTTTAGCATAAATGAGAATTTAGTGGCAGAGTTTGTGGGAGGAGAGTGTTTCACAGAAACCAAGGAATAATAGAACAAAACTAATACTGGTGGGCTGGAAGTGAGTTAGGGGACTGCTTTAGCCAGACCTCTGAACTGCTAAAACCTAGGGTCTGAGGGCTGGGGATGTGGCTCAAGCGGTAGCGTGCTCGCCTGGCATGCGTGCCACCCGGGTTTGATCCTCAGCACCACATACCAACAAAGATGTTGTGTCCGCTGAGAACTAAAAAATAAATATTAAAAATTAAAAAAAAAAACCTAGGGTCTGAGTTCTGAGGGTTTTTCTCTATCTGTTATCTAGACCTATCTTGGTACTTACTTTTCTCTTTGTTGCTCCTTCCATATAGTGGAAAATGATCAGTTGTGGTTTTTCAAAATCCAAATCCAACCAATGTGAAAGAAAATGGTTTAGTTCAATTCTGTCATTCCCAGGACCAACATTTGTAGAAAAGAAATTTGCTTGGTAAGTGTGGATTAGATGACAATGAGGAAATCTAATAGATTCTGGGGACTATTAACACATGATATAATAAACTTCACACTTTGTATACATTCCTATATGTTCATATATATTTCTCTAGCCTCCTTGCCTTCCTTTTCTCCAATTTTCTGGTCCTTTTTTTCTATAAGACCTTTAATCAGAGGGCCAGACCATTGGCTGCTACCTAGGACTCAATATATTCTCACTTTGAGTCACATCTCCTTTCATACAATATAGATGATCAAGAATATTGCTCAGACACCTACTACTTGGATAGCTTTTGTCCCTCCACTGATTTGCAATGTTACCTCTAAACATTTAATGTGCTATAAGTCACCTCTAAACATTTAATGTGCTATGATTATTTTTCATTTGCACACATATATCAAGATTATTTTTTTCTTTTGCTTGGGCATACATCACACACCTTATGGCTATAGGTGAACTAAGGGATGAGTGCTTATGAAAATATACGGGTTAATATAGGCAGTGTGGACTATCTGCTTATATACATATATGTTTTATATTTTCCTTAAAGTCTAGTATGTGTTAGATTCAGAATGCACAACTTTCACATTATGAAGGATTCCTCCTGGGACTGCCTGAATTTCTAATTTTTTAGGTCCAAACAGAAACCAATGCATGATGGGCAGATCTGAATGTGTGGTCACACGTGGTGCACCACTGTCAGATGTCTCATCCTTTCCAGAATTCAGATATATGCCAGGTGCTTTCTATAAAGATTTTTTATAATTCTCTGGATGACATAAACTTGCAGGAATCCAGAGACAGAGATAATTTTCTCACTGGGAATTTCCATAAGCTGAATACTGTGTTTTTTCTTACCACTAACCTCTCCAAAACCATCCCCTCTTTTCAGATTGCATGGCCCATGGTCAGCCTCCAGTCTTCTATTCTTGTCACACTGGTCTTGATTGAGAAGTGTCTGAAGTCCATCTCTCTATCAAATCCCTAGTGGGCTTTTCAGTTCTATTCCCCCTTCCATTCTTATGGAATTCCCTTCTACTGGATATTTTCTCAGTCACCATCCATAAAATTCTATAGCAATCAAGCTATGGCCCTGAAACAGGAACTGTGCAGATTCCATTTGCCAGACAGGATGGCTTCTTCTTTGCCAAATAGGTGATGAGCAACTGATGGGTCCTCAGTTCCCATCTACCTTGTTTCTCGGACCACTCCTAGTACTATCTTTATGATACAGGTCTTCTGAGAATGTTAATGGCCGAAACTCACTAATCAAAAGACATAGACATATAGATTCCAAATGAAAGTGAGTTGTAAGAACTTTATTGTGGAAAATACATTTGAAGACAAAAGCTGGGAAGAAGGAGTAAGAGAAGCTTCATCTTGAAAGGTAAATCTGACTTATGCAAAAGGAAAGGAGAAGAATGAGCTGGGTAAGAAGTGTCTTAGACTATAGAATAGTTCAAGAAAGTTTGGCAAGAGATAAGGAGCATTTGAGCAAGAGTTTCTTGTACTAGTATTCCCTACACAGGCACTCACTACAGTCCTCCACTGGGAGCTTCCCAGGAGTAACATGATTTCTATGCAAATACATTGGCAGATGCAGATGAGCAGAAGCTGGAACAGTCAGTCAACTATGCTTCCCACAGGATAATATCTGCGTGGTGCCTTTTCACAGTTACTACATGTACCAAGGGTGAGTAAATGATACTCAATTGGGGTTAAATATAATGTCTTAAAATTAGAATAGAAAAATTCTATTACTAAGGTCATAGACATAGATGTGATAAAAATTTCTATAATAAAGTGCTGAGGTTTGTGACTTCTAATGCTTTCAATAGTGAAACAATTCCTTTAGATGCAATTGACATTTTACAATGCACTTGTTAAAACATTGCACCCAGTTCCAAAAGGTAATTTTTCCTCACACTCATTCCTCACACTTGAGATTCCATCACTGTGATGTAACAAGTATGTAGCAAACTGGACTACCTTCAGAAGAAAGCAAAGTGAAAAATTCTGTCAAAGGATCAGTTGAAGGAAGTAGAATAGGTAGTAGAAAAATGATAATACCTTCAAATATTTGGAGGCTGTCTTATGGAAGAGAGAAAAGACTTGTTTTTTTCCAAGAAGCAAAATTAATAACAATGAGAGGTAACTACAAGAAAGTAGATTGCAGCTCAGTAAAGAAAACTGTCTGTAACAGAATTATCCAACCTTTGAACTTAGTACTTCAATTAAGTACTAAGTTTCCTGTCACCAGCTAGATGACCATTTCTCAGAGGTGCTCTAGAATTGATATTTGCATTTAGAGGAGTTGATAGACCCAACCTGATTTTCTCTTAAAATTGGGAGCCATCTTGCCACAAAGCCATGAAAAGATAATTTTGGCTTTACTATAAATTACTGCAAATTCTGAACTAGCTTGGAATGCCTGCCTGTGCCTTGAACTCACCCATGCCTGGCTCTCTCTGACCAGATAGCAGCCCTCTCTGAAACTTTAGTGATGCCTCATAAATCTTGGCCTTCCCTGGCCAGATACTGACCCTCTCGTAGGCTGTAATGACCGTCATACATTCTGGTGTCGGGGTCAGCAAAAATGTAAACTAGCATTGTGTTATGCTCATCAGAGTTTTGTTATCTGTAACCCCCCTTTGTGTAACTTTTTGGGCTATAAATCTGGACTGCAAGAAAGGTGCAGGGCTGTCTTGTTCCTGCGGTTTTTGTTGGGAGAGGAAGCCTGACTGGTCGAAATAATAAGCTTGCTTTAATTTGATTTTAATTGGAGTCAGTGGTCTTTTCTCCTGGTCCAACATTTTGGAGGCCCCAGTGAGATGACCCTGCCAGAACAGGCCACAAGACCAGACTGCTAGAAATTCTAAAGCCGGCCTGCGCTCCAGGGCTTCGGGCTGGAGAGCCACTTTAGGGGGTGTGCACCTTGAGACGTTCCAAGGCCTCTGAGTGAGCCTCGGTCCCCAGAGCGCTGCAGTGAACTGATGCACTAAAACTATTAGCAAGCATCTGGTGGAGGAGGACTCCATAGGTAAGTGGTGCCTTTATACCATCTGATATTCGATTAAAGGAGATCTCTTCTGAAGACAGAGAGGTCTTACATATACTTACATATATTCCTGTCTGGGACAGTAACGAGATATTGTTTTGTCCTCTGTACTGTTCTGTAGGGAATTCCTCTGGAAGGGTAGAGAGGTGCTGACGGGCACGTGCATGCTCCTAACCTGGGAGCTTTAGCAAGATGTTGCATTGCTCCTCTGTTTTTCAGTTTCAGTGCTGGGTTTCTGTTTTCTTGTGTTTTGTTCTGTGTTCTATATGTTTTTTTCTGCCTTTTGTTGTGTGATTTATGTGATAAAAACTTAAGGAAATTGGGCATGAAAATGAGTAATAAAGCAAATAAGCCTGACGGTCCTTTGAACTATTTTAAGGAACTGCGATAAACTTGACCCCCCTTTGTTAAGCAGGATTAGAGAAGCCCCTAGTTGGCTGCCTGGAGCACACCCACTGCAGAGGAAAATGCCTGCTGGGGATCTAGGAACTGAATATCTCCCAGATTAACAAGTGAAACTCCTTTAAAACCCCTTGTCCCTCCAGATCAAGAAAATTACAACCTTTGTTAGCAAAGCAATAAACCTCCCTTTTTCTTTTTCTCAAAACCCTGTCCTCATTATTAAATTGGCATCAATTGGCTTCAAGGTCAGGAACTGAACTTTCAGTTACAAATTTTGACACCTCAGGGGGAACTCTAAAGGAACCCCCAGTCCCTTCGTGGGGAAGCCTAGCACTCCAATCAAATGCATGCCGAGTATGTAAGATGAACTTTTTGAGAGCTGACTACTGGAAAGTTAGGAGATGTGGAGTGTGCCTGGTGTGGAACCGAACCAGGGGAGCTAATCCTGTAAGTAAAAGGAGGGACTGAGGGACTCCCAGCAGCTGCGAAAGCCCTTTTGCTTCAGGGAACTCCCACCTTCCTTCCCTGCACTGTAAGGCTTATGCTACCTCTGTCTACTTAAAAAAGAGAAAAAGAAAAAGGGAACACTAAATGCTAGTGTCGCCACAGAGTCCCTTGATTTCACATTGCAGGTTGCCACTCTTGTGAAAACATCTGGTCCACTCATGGGGACATCTATGGTGCCACTAGTGTAGGAGTCAAATGGGAGTTAGAAACCTGTGGAATTTTTCTCTTATCTGCTCTGTTTTAAAAGTTCTTGTCTGTTAGCCATAGTCTGGAGCTCCTTTCTGTCTGTCTGTCCTGTAACTTTGTTTGTTTCTGGCCCTTTAAGTCATGGGCAATAATGTGTCGAGATTATAGATTGTTTCTTGGCTAAATGTGTGTCTAAAAGATGATGTTTTATTGTAACAATCTGGTATCTGAATGGGTTTTTGAAGCATTGCACAATCTTGGGTTAAAAGTTTGGTTTAGATAATTGTTTAGTTTATGATTTTAGATAATTCATGCCAGAGAATTTAAATACTTAGGATGGAAAACTAAAGAACTCTACTTCCAAGTTGGCAAGTAACTTTCAGTCATTCAGTTTTTTCACCAATTTTTGAATTGGGTAGCCTGGGAAGATGTCACTGTGTGTACCAGTGCGTTAATTTGAAGAAGAATAATAAATCATAGTATGGTATCTGTTCCCCCCAGTGTATAGGACTTGGGAAAGGAAAGTGTTGGATTGGGGGTTGGTCTGGCTTATTAAAATGATGTTGAATAACAACAGTCTTGGAAATTTTAAAGCTTAATTTTGGATATAGATGGTAGTGTGTGGTTCTCTTTTGAAATTTTTTTAGGGGATTTAATGTAACTTAATACTACTATAGGAACTTCAGAGCAAAGAAAGTGGCCTAATGATCCTGAAGAGATTTCTTCTGATGTTAGCTTTTATATTATCAAGTAAGATCCTATTTTCCGATGCGTGTGAGCAAGTTTTTCTAATGTAGAAAATTTTTTTTCCTTTGGCAAAACAAGATGTAAAGATATGAAATTTTGTGAATTGTATCTTAAACTTGTATCATAATTTTCAACATCCAAACCTGAAAATTATGACTTATGGTTAAAATGCCTTAGACATGGAGGTTTCTGTTCAGAATAGCAGTTTTCCCTGCTCCTTCCTGACCTCAGCCAGGACTTATGTTGAAATGCAAATAGAAGAAGACTGAGAGCTCAGTAGGAGACTGATCTGAGGCCCAAGGGAAAAAAAAAGAGTGAAGGTGTCTTTTACCTGAACTCAAACTAGACTAAACCAAAAAGTGAATTATATGGTATTTACTAATTACTGGCTGGTCATTTTTTTAGGACTCTTGGTTTTTCTTAGATTCTGGTTTTTTTTTTGTTTTTTTTTTT